AAAGAAACACTTTGAAGATCCATTTCATTCAATAACACAGCACTGGCAATGCTCAGTGGCTGTGTTTATAAAGCAAACTACATTATTATTATATTGTCCTGTGTCTTTCTTGATTACTCTAGTACTCTAGTGTATATACTGTTTCATTACAGTATATACTCAGCATATGTACAGTAAACAATACTGGTCTAAAATCTGAAAGTGTCACTCAAGAAATTTCCAGTAGATGGCTTCTATGCATAAATTTGCAATTTACTTTTGGAGTCAAGCAAGGGTGTTTCAGAAAACCCGGGTCAAAAGTATTTTTAGACTTACACTCAACAGATTCATAGAAAAAAAGTAACCACCTGCACAGCTATCCTTTTCATGAACTACACATGCTCCACAAAGAGAAAGTTAAGAGCTGCAACTGGTTTGCTGGGATCACACCAAAAACAGACAAAAGGAAAGAGAAATAAAGTTTATTATAAAACATGTTGAAATAGCAGTGACTTAGCTGACTTCCTGCTCTGCTGTTCTAGGCAGAACAAAACATGAATGCTCTCAGAAAAGCCAAAACAAAATTACAGCGTAATATGTTGCCACACTAAAATCGCTTTCTCTTGATAATTTCTGGTTTCCAGCTGACAGGATGAGTTTCTTCAGTCTAAAAGGAAAAAAGAAAAATCTCATAAGGATTATTTTTCACTTGAAATTCACCTGTACTTAGAGTTTAGTTCCATAGTATATATACTCTATTTCATATTGTTACTTTATAATTACCTCATGTACTATGTAATTTACCCAAATGAAATTTTGTATTATCCCACTGTCTGAAGTACATGACAAGACTTGTTCTGTTCTTTTTTATTTTGCAACGAGGACAAAAATCAGGTTGCCAATGGCATTTCAGAAACAATATTGTGGTGATCAAAATACAGGAACAAAAACTCCAGAGACAGTCCTTATAGCAATATCTACATCAGTATTGGCAGATGCCACAGAGTCTACAGTTTGCTCAATTGCAAAATGGATAAAACATTCCATATCCCTTTATGTCTAAGAGTTGCTCCAAGTCTAATTAATGCAAAAATTCCAAGGCTTAATAAAAATCCTTATATTCTTTATATTGGAGACATACTCCAATAAACTATACAATATTCTATTATCTTCTCCATTAGTAAATGGGTTCAGATTTGAGAATAACAGTTTGAAAATAAGCTATTGACTCTGAATTCTAAAAACTGTCAAGGCAAATGACTAATCTAGATCATATGCAGAAGTACAATAAATTTTTAGAATGTGATCTTTTTGCTAATTCCCATGTTTCATCAATACAACCACACAGTCCCCTACTGGCTTCACAACGCAATGTACACCATTGCATTACAATTTCTCCAAACTTTATCACAAAGGACTTTTGCAGAAGAGTTGATAGACCTGACGCTTATTTGTACTATAGTAGTTAATAAGAAATTAGGAGTGCAGATACTAGCTGCTGTCCTCTCAACATTATTACATATGCATTGCTTTCAAACTTCAATAAAATGGATTACACAAGTCTGTGCAAATCCCTTATTGATACGTGTAACACTTGTTTGAAATTTTTTTATTTCATGAGAATACATTAAAAAGACACTTTGACATACCGCAGTATCATCTTCTTTGTACACTTTTATGGTTTTATCAGCTTCAGCAGTTAGCAATCTGCTTTCTGACTGGTCAAAAACACAAGCAAATATTCCTGATTCACTGTCCAAGGAGCCTGGCTGTACAGCTGCATGTACTCTCTGGAAATTGTATCCGGTTCTCCAGTCCCAAAGATGCATAGTACCATTATCAGCTAAAACGAACGAACAAACATACTTAGTATTTTAACCAGTTCATTTCTATCAGTTTTCTAAAAACGGTTATCATGAACAACTAATCAATACCTCAGGAATACATCAGCTATAGCATTCATGTAGAATAGCTCAGTACACCCTTCAAGGTTTCCCATTTTCTACTGGTTTCCTTCTTAGTTAAGACAGGCTGATCTTGTTTAAGGCCGTGTTTTGCATTAGATAACCCAGAGCGATGATGCACTACATCACAGGGCAACTGCAGTAAGCTCCTTTGGAAGCACAGAAAGGACTGGCATTCTGAATATCAAGCTCCCTCTTCAGTAGCTCCACTGAAGTTGAACAAAGAGGCATCATCCTGTCAAACCGATTACAGACATTAAGGAGTCTGTAATGGGACACGGGCTTAACGTTTGCAGAGGTTCTATTTCAAATACAGTTTAAGCCACTGCCAGTATTACTGCTACTGGCATCAGCTACAGGGTATTCACAGCAATATCTGAGCACTGTATTCAGAAGGATGCTCCCAAAGCAATTATTTTTCAGTTACAAAAACCACCCCCCTAAAACAGATCTATTAAAAATTTCTCCACAGCTGCCAGCTAGACAAGAAACCCAGATGCTTCAAGAAGGGTGTTTCTACAGCAAAATACTCTAAGGTAACCTCAACTTACTTTAATTCAGCATCAACTTTTTTTGAAGTTGCTGTAGATAGCACAAGGATGTAAAGGGGGGGAATCAATAGTAAAATTTTAATTTTTAAAAAAGCCACAAATATTACTAAAACCATACGGGTTTTTATGTGGAAAAGGAACAAGTTTTTCTAAAGCCTCAGCTACTACTAACACAAAAAATCCTACAAAGAGCTTCTAGAAATGTCTTCAAAATAATAAAGAATGAAATATGAGCCCAGTCCAGTATTTTGTCAAGTTCTTGCTCTCACTATGAATACACCAGTTGTGAAACAGAGCTTTACTCAGATTTTAAAATCAAGGGCCCCCTTTATACATACTTGAAAGCATAACCAGGGTAAGCTGACAATATAATTAGCTATCTTCCAACTCCTGCTTAGCGCATTTCCATCTTACTCCACATCCCTAGTCTACAGGACATACTGTATCAAATCGGACCAAGAGCACACAGGACCCAATGGGACCAAAGGCATTTCAGTGTTCCAAAGTGTAACTTAGCTGTTACTTTTTTTTATTATGCTCTGGTTACAAACACAGAAATGTTTTTCATAAGTATCTGCTGCTGCAGACTCATGGAACCCATCTCAAATTGTCTTATCACTTGTGATGCTGTGAATTGAGTCTCATCCTTGTTTACAACTACCCAAAAGATTGGACAAGCAAAACCAAGAAATGAAAACTCAGGCTCTGCAAGTTATATGGAGCAATACAGTCTAGCCTCTTAATTCACTTTCCTCTGACTATTAGAGCTCTCCCAGGACAATCTCGTGATGAAGTAACTAGTCTAGGACCTCAGAGATTTGGGTTTAACCTCCTGGTTTAACTCTGTTTTCCCATGCAATCTTGGACTGTTTCTCTAGAGCTCAGCTCTCAAGTTGTAAAATTAGCACTTCCTTTTTCCACACTATTTACTCATTTCCTGTTTATAATAGCATCTACATTAAAAACACACTTACCATCTCCCTACTATGTAGACACAATGCCTTAACAAAAAGATCTGATTTCAGCTGGGATTTCTAGAAGCGAGTTTCAAAAAAGCTTGTCACTAAAAAAGGCCTACATATCTACTTTACCTTGTACAAACATAAAACTCTCAGAAACATCACAGACTATGGTTTTACTAACACATACTTCCACCAAAATATTTTTATTACAGTGTTTGGGTAACTAATATATAGGAAAATGCTACCTGCAATATGAGATAAATGTTCTTACATGAAATTATTCATTATCAGATACAGTAAGCATTCAGGATTCTCCTCCTACCCCACAACACAGATACATGAATACAAACTAGTAGTTCCAAGACTTTGGGGGCTCACAGGCCACTAACAAAACTCTATTGTATCAGATGATCATTAAATTCTTGAAGCTTTTGAGTGAAAGAATTAAATCTGTGTCACAATAGACACAAAATCCTCCCATAGGCACCAGAGCCAAGTGGTTAATTTCTTCATTTCAGAACACTTGAACATATAATATTGCTGAGTAAACGTTGTTTTGATTTACAGAGCCAAATAAAATTCGGAGATTAGCTATCAATCTTTTAAACAATACAAATACAGCATCAAAAAATGTGTGCAAGAAACTAAGACAACAGAACCGATGCATTTGTGCTGCATAAAAAAAACAAAGAAGAGTTCACATTTAAATGGCACAGCAAGCTTTAGCAAGATGTTCCTATATCCTCTATCCATTCTCACTGCATCAACGTGTTCCTAACATAGAGCAGCCAACAAAGAACCAGATGTCTCTCAGGCAGCTTCCGACTTCCACACCACTCCTGAGGGGACACTAATAATTCAGACTCAGGAGATCACAGAGGATGAACCCTGGAGTCTTGCAGCAGCAGCCAACTGAGAAGCAGAGATATGTTTTTGTGCATGCAGCTCAGTAACGTGAGAAAATAAAAGCGGCCCTACTCACTATAAAATGAAGTTGCATGCTGTAGCAGGCTTATAGGCCCAGATAAGGGAGAGCTCGGCAAGCATCTTTGTCTAAGGACCTCCAGCCATATATACGTGGGGCAGTGGAGAGGGGAAATACAAACATGTATTTCTCATTTTTACCTCCAGAGACCAGAACTCCATCGGAATTTACAGCCAGTGTGTTGATAATAGCATTGTGACCAGAGAGGTTCTGAATGAAGTTTCCATCTGGGAATTTCCACTGTTTAATATTATCTGGAGAACCAGATGCAAATGTGTAACTGAAAGAAAATAAGCACAGTATATTAAAGTTCAAAAAAGCTGTAAGGATAGCAAACGTCCTTCATTGAAACTACTGTTAAATGCTAGTTGCAACATTACTTAACGCTAAAACTGGTTTTCTGACATTTTTACTTCACATAAAATGAAGCAATTTTATGAAGTCATGAATTACCTATCTCTACTGTTTCCTTTCCTTTCCATAGATTACCTAAGCTTTATAAATCCTATGTTGTATAGAATGTTAATATGCAAACAAACATTAAAGATGCACATTAAGTTCTTGTCAGCTGTTATTCTGGCAAATTTTCAGGTATAAGGGCATCATCAGCAAAAGCATCGGGGAAAAAAAACCCAAACAGAACAAAAACCAGTACTGACTATTTTTCCAGAACTATACAACCGAGAATAAAAGCACTGCAAAAAAGTGAACTATGAAAGACGATTTGTTTTACTGAGTTCAGTAATCAATTCCCTCATTTTAACACATGCAAGCAGTCACAAGGTTATTTGGGTAGCGCATACAAAAGCCTGTAGGAATATTTTCAGTTGCCACAACATCTGAGCAATTTGCTGTCTATTTAATAGATTCTTCAATAACAAAATAGATTATTAACAAAAAATACTGGAATATTAAAAATCCAGAAATACCAAAATATAAAAATACTAGGCTGACATTTGCCACTGCTTGATAAAAACACTTCCATTTTTTTTTTTAAAGAGGTATGATCAATGAATCTGAAACTAGAGGTTTTTTTTTTCAGAATGTAAGTAAAACTAGGGCGTTTCTCTGCTACAGCTAACAGGCATAGCATGAGATCTTTATAATTTTTCAGACACACAGATTGGATCAGAATTGATTCATATCAAAGATTCTGAATTTCTGCACTGACAGAATTTTGTTTTAAAATATTCAAGGTGCAGTAGTACTGCAGTTCTATGTGAATTCCTTTTCTCCATTGTTTTAATGGGGATTTATCCAAACAGGCAACTGTTGATGCATCAAAATATAGTATCTAAATTCAGAGCACTTCCAGACTGCATCAAAGGCACATACATAAATTCCATGGGGTATAAGACATTCTCAGGATTGCTAACGTACACTAGTGCCAATACTTCGGTAGCACAGCGTAGTGAAGGTATTTGAGAACTGATATGTAAATTTTTACAGCATTCTAAGCTCTTAGTTTTTCATATTATTATGTTCTACCACTCTAAATCATCACTCACATTGGCTTTCTGTCACCACCTAATGTTATGAACCGTGAAAGTGTAAAAGAACGAGGAAAACTTACTGTCTTGGATGTAGCACTACTGCTCTTACAGATTTCTTGTGATTTGTTAAAGTAACACGAGTTTTTCCTGCCACTAAATCCCAGAGCCGTATGGTAGTATCATGACTGCCTACAATGAAAAGAAAATTAAAAAATAGTAGAAACCATCATATTGATTCCATCATCATCATTATTTTGATAAGGCAGCCAAAACATTATATGTGAAAGAGAAAAATATTATGCTTGTTACAAAAATATGATACTAACACCACCTCAGACAAGAAAGATGCTGGGTTGTAAGTCTTTTTACACAGTTTGAAATTCAAGAACAACTAAGTAGCTACACAGCAAAGCTAGATTTTGACATAACGGGAAAGAAGATGAACTTTATATTTAACCACGGTACTGAACACTTCTTAACTGAATTGGGGAGAACTGTGAAATATCACAGAAAATGCAAGTCTTAATACATATTATAACAAAAAATGTAAACACCAGAAACAAAGGAAGTACAGAAAAATGTTCAAACAATGCATAGCTATATTTGCTTAAACATACCATTAATAGTATGAATTAACCATTGAATGGCCCATTTTCAAGAGAAAACTAATAAGAGAAAGTAAGGTAACAAAGATAACATTATGAACCTCACATAATTACTGAACAAATACATTCATGATTCAGTTTTTCAATCATGTTACTTGTGAAACTGTGCCCACTATACCTGTAATAATTTGTGGTTCTGCAGCTTGGCACTTCACTGTCGCTACCGCATTTGTGTGTCCTGATAGCGTGTGCACACTGGCTTTTGTCCTCACATCCCAAATCTACAAATTCACAGTACATAAGTCACAGAGGTCAATAACAGGTGCATGTTCAATGTATTTTAGGCACTGTCATTGACTACACAAATTCCTTGCCATAGTTCTACAGATTAAACAATGGTATTTAGTTTGTATTTTTATCCAACAATTAATCACAACTGCCTCAGCTGGCAAATTTCAAGGGGACCAGGGAGCTTGCCACTGAATTTCTAGACATACAGATAACTTAAAAGTCACCATAAAACCATACCATCTTCTAAATACCAAGTGATCCTATAAATACTATGTAGTCTACCTACTAAATTAAGACATAAAACATTCTCCTGAAGTGACACTGCATTTTTGTGTATTCAGGCTTTAGTTTTACTGACAATGGAAGACAAAGCTAACATAAGTCATCTTAGTATTTTCATCTTGATTCATGTTAACTTTTGGTAAGTATTCACTTTTACAAATGGAAGATGTTGAAACACACTGACATATCAAGACGTTAAAATGTAACAATGCTATACTTACTCGTGCTGTTGAATCTCTGCTACATGTTACCAGTACATCTATCGTTGGATGCAAGTCTAAACCATAGACAGCGCTTAGATGACCATGGTAATGTCTGATAACCTAGATAAATAAAAACATACACACACTTTAAGTGGCTATTTGAAAGACTATTCTAAATGCTTTGATTTTTATATTTGCCACCACCAATTCACTCCAACTGAAAAAACCTACAGCTTACCTTATTGTATTCAAGATCCCAGCATTTCACTTGTTTGTCTTCTCCACAAGAAAAGAGGTATGGACTTCTTGCGCTTACTATCACCCCTCGTACAGTACTGATGTGTCCCGTCAAAGACAATTTCAATTTGCCACTAGCAAGGTCCCAAATCTGCATCAAAATAGGTATTTTGAGGTAGACAGATAAAAGCTACACGGTGATAGTCTGGTTAAACAGCCCAGATGTAATTGATCCTGCTGCATTTTAAGTAAAAAATTACAATAGCATGTGCATTTGCTCTCCATCTACTACCACATAATAAATGAAATCTCAAGACTTAATACTCCACAAATCCTTTATGAGTAGGTAATAAAAGAAAAAATGTTCTGCAGTTTGTTATTCTGCAAGCAGCAACCAAGAAATTGTTTCCAAGGGCTGAAGACTTTTTTTAAATAAGAGAACAAAAAACCTCCCCCAAACTTTGTCAGTGATTGCTTCCAACCTCTTACCTTTATAGTTCTGTCAGCAGAGCCAGTAACAAACCACTGATTTCCTGGTTCTACTGCAATACATCTCACCCACCCCAGGTGACCACTGATAACCTTTAGAAAAAACAAGAATTTTTCTAAATCAGAAATAATACACGTACATCTGTCAACATAATTTTCATTCTCCAACACTGGAATTTGTTAGTATTCACCAAGAAACATATGCTCCCTAAAAAAGGCCAAATGTGAAATTAGATCTGAAGAGAGCTTGATTTCTACTTCAGTTAAATGAAGAGACTACTAGAAAGTCACATCATACACCAGACTTGGGGAACTTGCAGTACAGAAAGACTCAGCTCCTATAAGCAACTTCTTCAAATCCTTTGAGAGTCCATAACACTGTAGCTCAACACTTGAGGCTTTGCAGAGAAAGACTGTATTTAAGCACAAGTTCCTTATGCTGCTGTATAGTGTTATACAATAATAGTTAAAGAACAATCACATAAAATCTTGGCTATTAAATCACATTGCCATATAATAGCTACCTCTTAAAGCATCCCACCACCTCCTCTTCCCCAAAAAAGGGGGTAATATGAGTTTGTTGGAAACTTTCTGGTAACAAAATACTTGAGATGGATCTCAAGAAAAGCTCTACCAATACATGGCTTGCTTACAGCAGCCTTTCTGTTTCTCTAATTTCTCCGAAGTCAGACAGCTAAAACCAAAACCCATAGTTGTTTTCACTGGATGTCATACTTCATGTACTGTCATACAGCTCATTTAAAAAAAAAAAACCCTAGAACACACCAAAAGTTCTTAGGCAGAAATACTTTGGAAAGCTAAAGTGGATTCTTATGACTAGATGAGACCACAGCAACATACATTTGAGACAGCTGTCTAGATTTCTTCATAGTTTAGGAACAGAAAAGGGCATTTCCAGGGCAGAAATCTAAGAAATAAATTATCCGACCTATTTTAAGTACCCATCTTTCACAAATTACTTCATACCAAGCTTAGGAAGACCAGTAGATCTTAAACAACAAGTAAGATGAAACCCACATTTGGTGTTCCAGCTATGCTTCTGAGTTGTTTGAACAAGGATTTTGACAGCAAATCTCCATTAAAACTGCTGACATGTAGAATTAGTACAGTGAATTGAACTGTATTTACATTCTCTCTCTGAAAAGACAGTGCCCTAACAAGTACTTATTTTTCATTTGTTTACCTTAAAACTCTCATGGGTTTATTTTGGTGCCTTTTTTTCAAACAACATTTGCCTTAATTTTTATACAGAGCACATTCTAATACTGCTGTGTTTAGAAAACCTGGTCAAGATGCTGGAGGGAAGGGATGCCATCCAGAGGGACCTAGACAGGCTTGAGAGGTGGGCCCGTGTGAACCTCATGAGGTTCAACAAGGCCAAGTGCAAGGTCCTGCACATGGGTCAGGGCAATCCCAAGAACACATACAGGCTGGGCAGAGAACGGATTGAGAGTAGCCCTGAGGAGGAGGACCTGGGGGGGGTTGGTTGATGAGAAACTCAACATGACCCGGCAATGCGTGCTTGCAGCCCAGAAAGCCAACCGTATCCTGGGCTGCATCAAAAGGAGCATAACTAGCAGCTCAAGGGAGGTGATTCTCTCCCTCTGCTCTGCTCTCAGGAAAGCCCACCTGGAGTACTGTGTTCAGCTCTGAGCCCCCAACAAAAGAAGGACATGGACCTGTTGGAGCGAGTCCAGAGGAGGGCCACAAAGGTGATCAGAGGGCTGGAGCACCTCTCCTATGAGGACAGGCTGAGAGAGCTGGGGATGTTCAGCCTGAAGAAGAGAAGGCTCCCGGAAGACCTTACAGCAGCCTTCCAGTGCCTGAAGGGGACCTACAAGGGAGCTGGAGAGGAACTTTTTACAAGGGCATGTAGTGATAGGACAAGAGGTGATGGCTTTAAACTGAAAGAGGGTAGATTTAGATTAGATATAAGGAAGAAATTCTTCACTAGGAGGGTGGTGAGGCACTGGAACAGGTTGCCCAGAAAAGTTGTGGATGCCCCGTCCCTGGAAGATTCAAGGTCAGGTTGGATGGGGCTTTGAGTGACCTGGTCTAGTGGAAGGCGTCCCTGCCCATGGCAGGAGGGTTGGAACTAGATGATCTGGAAGGTCCCTTCCAACCCAAACCATTGTATCATTCTATGATATATTCCTTTGAGCTCAAGTGTTTTTCAAAAAACTACTTTCTAAGATTAGCCTTAAGATTTATGAGTAATATAGCACGCAGGACTCTTCTGAAGATCTAAATGCCTACATTTGGTGCTATATTTAGATGAACAGTGCTAAAACAATACAATTCTGATACTAGAACATGAGATTTTTAAATATCAGGAAAGCCTGACATTCCTAAAATAATACTCACCCTTTCTCAGTCAAAATATGAAATTGCTTAAATTTCATAGTAAGAATCAGGAAAAATGTATAATTCAAACAGACACACCTGGAAAGTTAGAGATCTGAACCAATACATATGCTTAGAGATTTTCCCTCCAACTCAGCTACCCATACTCATCACCAAAATGTTTAAAGATGAAATGAGATTTTGGGGGGATGGCTATTATTACTGCCTAAAAAAAATTAAAAGGCAAAATAGACTAATTCAAAGACAAGACTAGAAGTCAAGCAATCTAAACTGCAGAGATAATTTGTAATTAAAGTATTCAGCTTTTTTTTTTTTCCCCATTTTTCATAGCAAGTCAAAGAACTCTGGCTGACTCAGACACTGACTGCCTTTAAGTGTTTCCGGAGACAATTTTGTTATGTTAACATTGCTAGAGTATTTCTTTAACATGTTATTACTTCAAATTTTGCACCTTGTCTGAGTTCCTCTACCAAAGAATCTGACTAGAAAAGAAAAAACTCCAACTCTTTAATGAACTTATCATACTACAGCTAAACCTATGTAAACAAAAGGCCATGGCAGGAGGGTTGGAACTAGATGATCTGGAAGGTCCCTTCCAACCCAAACCATTGTATCATTCTATGATATATTCCTTTGAGCTCAAGTGTTTTTCAAAAAACTACTTTCTAAGATTAGCCTTAAGATTTATGAGTAATATAGCACGCAGGACTCTTCTGAAGATCTAAATGCCTACATTTGGTGCTATATTTAGATGAACAGTGCTAAAACAATACAATTCTGATACTAGAACATGAGATTTTTAAATATCAGGAAAGCCTGACATTCCTAAAATAATACTCACCCTTTCTCAGTCAAAATATGAAATTGCTTAAATTTCATAGTAAGAATCAGGAAAAATGTATAATTCAAACAGACACACCTGGAAAGTTAGAGATCTGAACCAATACATATGCTTAGAGATTTTCCCTCCAACTCAGCTACCCATACTCATCACCAAAATGTTTAAAGATGAAATGAGATTTTGGGGGGATGGCTATTATTACTGCCTAAAAAAAATTAAAAGGCAAAATAGACTAATTCAAAGACAAGACTAGAAGTCAAGCAATCTAAACTGCAGAGATAATTTGTAATTAAAGTATTCAGCTTTTTTTTTTTTCCCCATTTTTCATAGCAAGTCAAAGAACTCTGGCTGACTCAGACACTGACTGCCTTTAAGTGTTTCCGGAGACAATTTTGTTATGTTAACATTGCTAGAGTATTTCTTTAACATGTTATTACTTCAAATTTTGCACCTTGTCTGAGTTCCTCTACCAAAGAATCTGACTAGAAAAGAAAAAACTCCAACTCTTTAATGAACTTATCATACTACAGCTAAACCTATGTAAACAAAAGGATAGAATTAATAATAGTCACAGAATAATTTGCTAAATAGAATGAAAAATGGTTGTAATCCAATCTGTTTCTAAGGAGAGAGTGTGCATATAGAACTTAGTTGTGATCAGTGTTAATTTGATTTCATTTTTGTGAATGAGAAGCAAAAATTAGTTTTGAGGTCTTTACAGAACATTAAATATTCTTTTACTTTCATATGCATGTTATACATTTGTAACTTACTCTGTACAGTTTCCAAGGTGGATGCCACTGAGGTTTGGGCATGGTTGGAGCCTTCTTTGCCATTAGCGCAGAATTTTTGTTTCCACCACCTTCCACCATAGCCTGTAAGTTAAAAAGAAGGTTACTCTTTATAACTTACCTCTTTGCCTAAAACCTAAAGCCTTCTCGTTCTGACATCTCAACACTGATTAAATTTAGTCTGTCAGGAGATCTCCACACAACACACATGAATCCAGAAGTAATCTTGTGAACACTACGTACTTTTCACATCAGATGTGCAACAAACTCACCACGGACATCCCAGGAGGCTGCGAACGCTCAGATATTCCGGCATGCCTGTAAATATCACCCACGCCAGCAGCTGTCCGATTTGCATCCATCCTATGTTGAATGAAAATGGTTGATTAATTGGAATCAACTTTCTCTTTCACTAAGTAAGCAATAAGGTATCACAGGGCTGGATCCAGTCAAGTGCTGTACACCTCCAAGGATGGAGACTCCACAACCTCTCTGGGCAACCTGTTCCAGCGCCTGACTGCCTCAAGGTAAAAGACACCCACAAACAAAGCCCCACTTTTTCCTCTTGTATCTGAACAAAATTTCCCTTGTTCCAACTGCTGCCTATTGTCTCTCGTAACACCCAAGAAAAACACACGTACGGAAAAACGATGCCTGCCCACACTAAAAGTAGTTTCTTTAAACATTTTCTAAATTAGAATATTCAAAATACTCAAAGTAGCTTTTATCCTGACTTCTGTGTTTTGCCTTGAAATTCCCATAGATTACGAAAGTGTTAATGAAGTAACACAGCAGTACCTGGACTGGGAAGCAGGAAGTGCTACGGCTAAGGACTGTGCTGCAGATTCACTAGGCATCCTCTGGACCTTAGTATCTGCTGTCAGAGCCACACCTTGAAAAAAAAAATAACACAGCAAAAGCAAAGACAACTCTATTGAAAAGAAAATCCAGAAAAGTATATTATACAAACACATATATATACACATATACCTCTGAACAAGGGCTTGTCACACCTCTGTAATATTAAATCCCATCATTCAATGACATTATTTTTCACATGTGAGTCAAATCTACCAAAATTTTTATTTTGGCCCAAATGCTTTCCATCTTGATTCTACTACACACATAGGTACACAATTTCTAGAGCAGAAAACAGTATGATTCTGTCATTGGAAACAAAAAAGCCTAACTAGGAGCAGCATCCATCTTTTCATCCAGCTTCAACTACTATGGAAATCCAAACATCACAGAAGTAAACATGATCTTGATAAGTATTTGCTAACTTAGGTCCTTGAGTGCAGTTTATTATGCCTTCCCTATGTGGTGGTTGGCATCATGCAGTGGTGCCAGAACTACAAAAGGTTTAGCCCTACTGAAGTGAGAATTTCAGACTATAATTTATAACCTCATCCTAAAATCAGCAGACCACTTTTTAAAAAAAATTTAAAACTCTTTGCAAAGTGTAGTTTTCATGCAGACTGGTGAATTTATTCCACTCCCATTTCTCTATTTCTTTTCCTAACCAAAGCTCTGGCAGTTGACAACAAAGACAGTATTTTGGTGAGAAGCCCAGGTTAAAACAGAAAAATTAAAGAAATTAATTTTTAACCAGGACATATCTGATTCCATTAAAAGAACACTGAACTTGAGGAAACCTCTGTGAGCAAGTCTTGACCCCACAGTTAGTCAACTATGCACGGGTTTTTTTAATGGCTGAGGGTCCATTGAACACTCACATTTGTTAACTTATAAATCAAGCCACAATACATTTCCCACCATACTTAAAATAAACTTAAGCACTAATAGTAAAAGATCAACAGCCAAAACTAAACTGCTACAAGGAAAGAGCAGGACTGATCAGTAACAGTGACAATTAGCAATGGCCAATGTAACAAAACCAACATAACCCTTCCAAGCACAGACAAAACCAAATGACACTGAAATTATTAGACCCTAATGTCTGTTTCTCAAAGCAAGGTGGTGATACCTACACCTTTTTGCTCTGGTGACGAAAAGCAGGATACATTCCCTCTTTTCATTCAGCTTCCTTCTAGCTGGAACCACCCCCTCCTTGTTCACAACAAAATTCTAAGAGCAGCTCTGCCACAACAGTGGAGGCACCAGGGATCTGTGGGTCTCAGCAAGCTCTCCAAGAGAAAGGGGACCACAAGATCAGAGAGGGGATTCCTAGAACATTTTTGTGATGATGTTACCACAGGAGGTGAAATCTCATAGAAATGAATGACCGCCTCACAGCAAGCCCATATCCACTGAGGCTTAGTGAGAAGACACTGCATTTGCACCTAAATCTTCCTCCTACCTCCTACCCCAGAACATTTATCAGCCACAAAACCCTGCATCAATACTATGAAAGACTTCACTGGCATTTCCCACTACTATCAGCTATGGATTTACAGCAACAGGAAGCCTGCTCCTGCTAGGATGGAGGATGCCTAGTTCTTACAGGAAGGCAAAAATCCCAGGCAAACACTCACAGAATTTTACTTACCAGGACCAGGTGGGTACGGATGTGTACCAGTTATCAAATACTCAAGTTCTTGTCCTAAAGAGCAACAAAATGTCGTATTAATGATTATATTTTATACTGCGCTGCAAATGATGCACTCAAACAGGAAATACAGAAAAACAGAGCAGGTCATGTACAGAAGTGATTCCTGGTTTCTCCTGCTAATGTACTACACTAGACATTTCTTGTTTTCGTTAATTTCATTTGTTCTGGTTACCTCAGTTTTCTAAAACTCAAGAGTAAAATAACATTTTAAAATGGTGATGCCACTTGTTATCAAGAGGGAGTCTCTCTCAAGAGAAAAAATCTTCATACTGCCAAAGCTGCCTTTTGAAGTAATATCATGGAAAAGGATTCAAGTACACAAACAGCATGGGTGTCTGAAACCTAAGGTAGTTAAGACAACTGATTGTGTGCTATCAGAAAAGAAAAAGGTTCTTTTCTTCTTAAAAGAAAATTCATTATCTCTCAACATCTTTTACTCTCAGAATACTTCCAAATAAAGCATCTTGAAAAAAATGCCAACTAAAATAAGGTGGCATTTGGCATTCTTTAGAAGTTTCTGCATGGGATCTAATACATACACATTTTACATATAACCAAACATAGCTTAAAAAAACCCCAGATTTAAAATCAAGAGTTTTCTGTTTTAACAGTTGCACAGCTAAAAAGTCTGAAAAGATTATATGAAACAAAATAAAAAAGCCAACCAAAACAGCAAAAGAACATGTCCTTGACCATTATGAACTTGTAAAAAGGAGAAATACATTACTGATTTTTCTCTTTCTAATACTTAAGTACAGCACATATTAATGCTACCATAAAAATTACTGGTTTTCCTAATGAGTTACCGTAAAAAATTCACAGCATCCTATTAACTACTTTGTTAGAACAAACTTCTTCCTTGTTCTGAATCAGTTACCTCCTGCAGACCCTAGCAAGAAAAATACCAAATAATGAAAAAATGGTATTTTGATTTCCATCTTTATCTCCGATGGATTAACACTGGACTGCATTTTTCAGATTTTACATCAGTGAGACTGTCACAAAAGAAAGGCCAAATATATCACCAAGAGCAAACTAACCTTGATTTCCAGAATACTGTTTGTGTCCATAAGGATCCCCGGTGTTTGGGCCTCCTTTCTCTCTCAAGTTTTCTTTAAGAGTAGGCATGTGTAACACTGAGCCGTACTCTGTACGCAGCTTGACTGCCATCTTTACTTTGTGACTGTTGGAAGAGTAAACCATAACACCGATTAAACCCCAATTTCTGAATTGTTACTAAGTTTTGAAATATCTTAGAGAAGGTTTTATACAACTTACTTTACAATTCTATTTTTTTTTTTCTTCCCTCAAGACTACACTGTTAACTCTACAGAAACATTTGAACTCCTGACTTGGATGGAGCTATCACTAACATGATTTAAAACTTTGAGGCACACCAGTAATTCACTGATTGCAATACTTACCTTTCTTCATCTAAAGGGATAGGTTTGGCATTATCAGCTACAAACATATCATGGGTTCTCTTCAAAGATCTGAACACAAGCGTGTGCACAGAATGCTTTTGGACTTCCTAAAAATAAAGAAAAGAATATTTAAATACGTTTGGACATAACTAAATGAAAAATTGAAAATGGAAACATAAATTGAACTGAGTAGTAATTTCAGACTTCAGTACTGTCAGATTATACAACGCTATTTAGTTCACAGAAAAAAATTAAGTTTATCTGTTAATTGTTTTAATTCAGTGTTTACTCAATATAACACTCCCTTTCTTGGAAACTGCCAAGACTTTGAAAAGCAAGACAGAAGCTTTGAACAAGCTTTCTGCACTGGCATCTACACGGCAAATCCATAAGCATGCAAGCTTTTTCCCTCATGTTTTCCAGGTCTGTTTTCACAGGTAGGCAATAAAGTAACCTATTCTGAAAACAATCCTGTAAATTTTATTTCACTACCACCACAAAAAGAGTAAGAGCAATCATTAGTTTCTGTGCTCAGTGTCACTTTACATAAGCACAGCACAGTTTACTAAGATAAAACTTGGGATCAGACTTGACCAAACTTGTTTTCCTTTTATAATTTTCATTTGTTACTAAAATCAAAACATACTTAAAAGCTCATTCAGGAACTAACAAGCAGCATTAAAAAGCAATTAGCTTACGTACAATATTGGCTTATCAACAGTACAATTTATTTTTTTATTAATATTTTCCTCCCAATGGACAAAAAGTATGGTTAGAAATCTCGGGCCGCTTGCTTAGGTACAAAACCAAAGTCTCTGCATGACTGTATTTGTTCTATACATCATACAATGGCAACAAACTAGAAGCTACGCTAATAACTTTTGGCATTGGATATCACTCAGCTGCCCGGTCTCCAAGATTCATTACACAGATGCTTTCCCTGTTAAGCTCTTTGTAGATTCTGTTTTCCTGCCCTGAAAGCTGTCCACTCACCGACCCATTTTGCAATGCCTGTTACCCTCCTAACTCAGTACACACAGTTTTTTTGCTCTAGCTCAGTGTGCTCCTGAAAGCTCCAGGTATTACGTGAAAAATAAAACAAACCAGCATTCGGAATTGGATTTGGAATTTCATACAGCTGGAGAAAGAAATAAGAATTACAGTAGCTAATTACTATTCAACAACAGCAGCTGTTGAAATCACCACATGAGTAGTAGATAACACAATGCCTCCCCAACAGGGAAGAAGCATCTACAAGTATTTTTTTTGACAGAGACGGCACTCTGTAAAAAACCGCCAGCAGCATTAGGTGGGCCAGCAGTCATTGCATCTTTTTCCATACTCCTGACAACAACACTTGCTTTTAGAAGTGCACATTGTTCACCCCACAGTAACTATTCCACGGCCTATAAAAACAGCGGCCTTCTCCCCAGCTTTGCTTCCCAGCCCTCACAAAAAAGCTACCGTTTCCTTGACCAGCCGACAAAGCCAGTAAGTCACCGGCGGTTGGGCATCTCACCGTCACCTCCCCAGCCCCCAGCACCAATTCCGTACACGGCGTAAGTCTGGCAAAGCCAAACTGCCGCCTGCTGCTCGCTCCTGCCCCAGGCCTACAGAGCCCACGGACCCGCCCCACAGCCCTCAGACGGGCGAGAAACACCGCTCTCGCTTCCCGCTGTCCCCCGGGGCGGCACGGGCCGGGGCCGGGAAGGCGGAGGGACCGCCGTGGCCTATCCCCACGGCGGCGCCTTCGTACCAAAGGGGAAGCGAGGGCGGGGGCTCCGGTACGGCGCTCGGTGGTCCGTGCGCGGCTTCCCCCCCCGCCGCAGCCCGGCCCCGGCCCCCTCACGGGCCCTGTCCGCCCCGTTGCCCCGGCAGCGCTCC